CAAGAAAATAAAACACAGTACATATTCAGGGTGTTATTGAAAGGTACGTAGGTACAAAAAAATTGACAGTTCTTCGCGAAGTCTAAGATGCCTGAAAAACTTAATTTGTGTTATCAAAATTATAAGGGGAAAATTAACCCCTATCCAACCTTTTTAGACGCTACTGAAGGATAAATAGGTAAAATTAATTTATTTTAAAAATAAGACACCCTTTTGTTGCTACAGAAACGAAAGATGACCTTTTCATCAGAGGCGTACAACGAATTTGGACATAAATTTTAAGAATTTTTATTTCTAAAAGGAGAACACTTTCATCTGAACTTTTTTTAAATTTTAGCACCCATACTTCGAGTCCAATTGCCGGTTTTATTTTGTACGTACCTTTCAATAACACGCTGTATAACAAATCATTTATTAAACCCTTAATCGTGCCTCAACTTCTTATCCGCCTTCGCCAGCCCCACATAATCCTCCAACTGCTTCACCCTCAGCTTGCACCACACCACATAATTCAACAACCCTACAATGTTGGCCGCATTCAGGGCCACCGCTTCTGGGTACAGCACCGTACTGCAGCCCAACCCTGAGGGCACATTCAAGCTCGACCAAACATCCCTCTCCACGCTGTCGCTCTTCACAGGGGGGCAGTTTATGACCGGTAGGGGCGAGTTCCCGGAAATCACGGGCCCCAAGCCGTTGCTCCGCCCGGCTACAGCAATGAAGCCTTCACTGAAAGAGACTTATAATATCTGACGATTTTAATAGTTTCCTCGGTGCCTTTGTGAGCAGACATCACTCGGAGTTCTGTATTGAGTCCCAACTTTTCGCACTGAGCTTGGATGTTGAGACAGTGCTCCTTATCGGAGGGTCAAGGTGGTCCAGTTGGTTTAAATGCCACCCATTCGAAGTTGCGTTTGACTGTGTCTAGGTCGGAGGCGGTCACTGTGGTGCGGTTGCGGTAGACTTGCTTGTCTACCATGAGGCGCTTGTCGCCGGAGGGCCACAAGCGCCAACTGTCTGAGTCGATGACGTCAGCTACCGGGAGTTCACCTGTTAAGTATTTATTAATTATGATGAGGTAGGTCATTGTCAGCGGTTTACTTACCGGAATTATCGACCCCGAATTCGATTTTCATATCTATGAGGGCGCAATTTCTGGAAGCCCAAACTTTTTCTAAAATTTCAAAAACGAGGATGGACGTCGTGGTCATGATGTCGACTTCCGTGGGACCTGGAATTACAATTACTTTTACGTTTTTCGAACTTTCATGACCCCTACAGTACGAAGAAATAGGCCTCCCGTTTCCGTCGTCTGTCTGTTCGAATTGTCAAATTTTGTATTTATATCACGAATATCATGTAGATGAAACGCTAGCCAAAATTCGTCTAATCATTCTCACCAATAATGTGATGACGTCACCTCAAAATTTTGCTGAGTAAATTCTACCCAAAATGTGGAAAATATGATGAGTTTTTACTTGATTTATCATTGCATTCATATTTTTTTAGTCATTTTCCATTTTACACTAAATCAAATAAGTCAGTGAAATGAAGATAGGAGGTGAACGGGGCTAAATTTAGCTTTTTTCTAGTTTTATGAGAACGCAGTAGCCCCGCCCACCTACCCCTTCTGCGTTCCAGTGACTACTCTTAATATTGTTCAGTCCTATCTTGGCAAGTTTTAGCACTAAAAAAATTAATGACGCCATGTCAAAATTTTACCGAATAACTCCTATTTTAAATAAGCAAAATATTATGAGTCTAATATTTACGTTATTTGTCACCTCTCTGTCTGTTTTGCAGCACAATTTATCTCTTATTACTTACCGGATGTCCAATAATCCCTGACCATAGGCATCTTCATCATTATCCGCACATTGGTGTGGAGGAACACTCTCCCAGTGTGGCTCTTCACTAACTACATCGTCTTCTTCGAAATATGAACCAGAACCAGGATAACACAATCCTAGCAAAAAAAGGAAATGCAACGAATGCCTACATCCAGCCACAATTTATTTTGTATCTCCCGGATTCTAAACGCCATGTGCATGCGGTTTTACGACAAACGTAATTTGTCACCTATCTGTCTGTTTTGCAGCAGAATTTATCTCTTATTACTTACCGGATGTCCAATGATCCCTGACTATTGGCATCTTCATCATTATCCGCACAATTGATGTGGAGGAACACACTGACAGTGTAGTTCTTCACTAACTATATCATCTTGGTCGAAATACGAACTTAAAATAGAATAACACAATACTAGCAAAAAAAGGAGATGCAACGAATGTCTACATGTTATCGCTCGTAGTGCTGATGCCTAACTACCAAGCGACACCGAATGCAGGGAAAAGAAAACTCATAAATGAGAAAATAAGTTGCTGGGTCCCAGTAGACTGAACGGTAATTAAAAGGCATTATTGTAAGTATTGTCTCTGAAGTAGGTACTTTATAATTTATAATTCTCTAGGAATACAGATAATCTTCTTCAAATGGCCAAACTTTCTATTTAACGGCGTTCTATGAATAGAAGCATTAGAAACTTCGTAAAATCTAAAATTAGGTATTATTGAAAAAGAAATCAGTGAACTGAGAACTTACCCTTCTCGAATTTACATTAAGGAAGTTTTGTTCAAAAAGTGCTTTAAAAAGTACGATTTAATGGAGGTTGCAGGCATCATTTTGAACACGTGACATCATTACCCGGTAGGGTTTAATTTGCGGCAAGACCTGCAATTAGCCCACCATATCCTGTGTCATTAGTTTCCACTCTTGGCGCCAAACTCCAGCCGGAAAGCTCAAAATAAAATTTAAGGAATTTTCAAATCAACCGTTCTCTTGTACTTTGTTGCTTTTCTAATAACATGTTCGGTACATATTGTTTTCATTTCCGATTTTTGCATTTAGGGGAAGATTGTATTGAAGCGCGATTATTTTAATGAATTGGAAACAAATAGAACAAAACGCTGATCAAGGGCTGCTTTAATTTTTTTTAGTTTATGTGCTGGAAAGAAAGTACTTAAGCGTGAAAATGTTATGTATTATTCTCAGACTAAACAATTGCAATTGATTTATATATAAACATTATGCAGGATTTAATAACACTTGCAATATTAATATTAACAATAATAATATTAATAATAATTTTCAAGTAAAAGCTTATAGAAGGTGGTTAATATGTTATCAAAAGTATTGAGTCTAAATTTTGTGTATTAATGCTCCAGGTTGACGTGGCCTGTACTGATTTTTCCAAGGCCTTCGACAAACTTAATCATGATATTTTGGTGGTTAAATGAACTAATTTTAGGTTTTCTGCTTCATTACTTAGGTACATTGTTAAAATCGTATTTATCCAATAGGACTCAGTGCGTTAAATATAATGGTCATGTGTCAGATAGTATTACCGTCTTGTCTGGAGTGCCTCGGGGTTCGGTTCTTGGACCTCTTTTGTTTGGGATTTATATAAATGATCGCAAAGAGTATTAGTTCAAACATTCTCATGTACGCGGACAATTTAAAAATTTTTAGAACTGTTTCCAGTATTAATGACTGCCGGATGTTACAAGATGATCTGCATAAATTTCTATGTTGGAGCAATTCTAACTTCCTCCCGGTAAATTTTGACAAATGCTTTATTATGTCATTTACTTACAAAATACCGAAAGCTTGTATCCCTATGATCTCAATAACACTATTTTGACTAGAGTTGATTTTTGATACTAAGATGTGGCAGTAGTTTTAGTGACTTTGATTGTTTGAAAATTTTATATTTTGCTTATGTGCGGTCTAAGCTTGAATATGCAAGTGTTGTTTGGTCTCCATTTTCTCGATTCATATAGACACATTGGAGAAGATTCAACGACGTTTTTTGAAGTACTTAGCTTTTAGGGCGGATGGTGTTTATCCACCAAGGGGTTCGTCCCATATTACTCTTTTAAATAAGTTTGGGTTTAGAGATTTACATTGTAGAGGGAATAGTAGATAGCTTGTGTTTTTGCTGACTGATTGATAAGTTGATAACACATTTCTTTGGTGAGGTGAGGAACTGCAGCGTATCGCTGCTCTCACCTGAATGTATTTATATACGTTGAGGATTGATTTAACACATTTCTTGAAGGAGAAAAGGTTTAGCTGTAGAACCTTTCAGTGTAATCCTCAACATATAACATAACAGAGGAGGAGTGTGTATGTATGCTTATCGTAAGATAACTTCAATTTACAAAATTTCAGTTATTGATGTTTCTATTGATGACAAGGAACTCTTTTTTTGAAGGTATCACGTGCTTGTTATTGGATGTATACACCTTCCGTCATCCTCAAACCTTGTTATTAATTCACTTTTCTAAATTAGTAAACAAGTCCCTCAAGGTTCCGTTCTGGGTCCTGTTTTGTTTCTGATATATTCCGCTTATAGAAGGTGGTTAATATTTTATCAAAAGTATTGAGTCTGAATTTTTTGGATCATTTGGAAACCCAAAAATATATTACCTATACTTTTATAAAAAGTTAACCTGGTAATGTTCAAATAAGTTTTTGGTTTGAAGCATATGGTGAAAATAAAAGCAGTTTGAAGTTTGAAGTTTTTTTACTGATTTCTCTATGTCCAATTACTTATTAATGTAACAAAATTTCATTACCGTAAAATGGGCTGTCGTCACCTTCACCAAAATAAGGCACTTCATGATATTCACATTCACAAAAAACGCCGTAACATATAACATAAGAAAGTCATTGCAAGGACATTTGTGCGCCAGTGGGCAACAAAAAATTCCGCTAAACAATTTTCTTCAAATATTTGAGTAGCTCTGGCTATGTATTTTGATATGTATATATCCATACAAACACCAGCAATTGTAATAGTTTTATCATCTACTCCCCAATCCAAAAGCAAAAAATAACAATTTATTGCAACGATCAACTAAATTTTCAAACTCAGGAAATATTTCTGTAGAAAAAAGAAATGTTCCGGTTATAAATGTATATATTAAAACAATGTTACATATTTATACCTATCAAAATGCTCTATAGATCTAGAATACACTTTAATCATCCCACTTCTGCACTGTTTGCATGTTCATTATATACTCGTCAATCTTCTTAGCACACGTTTCGTTCCAAGGATTCTCCCAAAAATTTATAGATTCAACATTTGTGAAAATCGTCTTCAAATCTCCGTCAATACAATTTAACTTATTTCCACTGAGATCCAAACTACCAACACTAACATTGACCAACAAATCTGGGTTCCACTCATCAATCTCATTATCAGACAAATCTAAATAATCTACGCGCTCTAACTTATCAAATGCTTTAACTGAAATCTTCTTAATTTCGTTCCCGTGAAAACTAATGCTCTCCACACGAGGATAATTCTTGAACGCTTCATCTGGAATCTGAGTTATCACATTATAACTGACCGAAATTTCAACAACCGATTTTGCCCCACTTAGCCAATTATTGTCCCACTGGGTTAGATTATTGGAGCCAATGTGTAATTCAATAAGAGCTGACATGTCATCAAAAGCTTTACTGGCAATTTGAGTGATCTTGTTTTGGTTGAGATTCAAATAGATGAGTTTGGTGTTGTTGAAAACACCTTCTGGGATTTCTTCCAACTCGTTATACGCAAGAGTAAAAAGCTGCAACTTTGGCAGGTTTTTCAAATCACCAGGTCGCAGAAGCTTGATTGCGTTGTTGTTCAAATCGAGTGCTATTAAGTCTTGCATATCAAAAGCTTCCGGATCGATTTCCTCAAAGTTATTATCGAACATAAACAATCGTGTTAATGCAATTGATGACAGAGCTTTTGGTGCGATGGTGTGAAGAAGATTACGACTCAAACTTATGCTTTGAAGGGTGGCTTTTTCAAAGACACCGTTTGGAATTTCGGTGAGTTTGTTGTTATCAAGTGACACGTGCTGGGCGTGGAAATTCTTGAAGGCTCCGGGTTGTAGAGTGATGATTGAGTTGGATGCCAAATTTATATGAGTTACATTTAGATCTGTAAAAGTGTTCGTTTGGATTTCTGTCAAGTTATTCCAAGTCAGAACGAGAGTTTTCAAACGGGGTAAATTACCAAAAGCTCCCGGTTTGATTTCTTTCAAACCTACGTCAGTCAGGTTGAGAGTGTTCAGATTTGGTATATCGTAAACTGATTTTTCGTACAAGGTGGGAACGTTACCAGTGATTTCCACCGACACTTCTTCTTCATTAGGAATTATTTTCTTGAGATTGCTAAATGTAGCTACCGTTATTTCTACTTTGTCGTCAAGAAGCCACAGAACTGTCACATTTTCAAAAGTGGTTTTTTCGGTCTTACTAAGTTTAAGAAGCAAAATGTGGAGGAGTAGGTGTATTAGTGAAGAACGCATCTTGATAACTGGAGTTGTTTATGTAGAACGTCGTATTTATGAGATAAACAGAAATTATTTGTTGGTTTCTTTATTAGGTATCAAAGAAATTCTTCTTAAAAGTGTGTGTCATGCACGAGGTAATTTTAATTTTATTCAAATGTCTTGTAAACATCAACACAACACTTCAATGAATCATCTCACTTTTCTATTACCTTATAAACATGAAGTTCAACGTAAACAACTTCAGTATTCAAGATGCGTTCTTCACTAGTACACCTACTAGTGTGTATTTTTCTTTTTAAAGTTAGTAACAGTGAACAAATTACTTTCAAAAATGTGACAGTTCGGTGGCATCATTTTGACAAAGTAGACGAAACGGTAGCTACTTTTGACAACCTTAAGAAAATAATTTCTAATGAAAAAAAATTATACGTGACGATCTATGGTAGGGACATATTAGCAGCAAATATAGCTAGATTTGAGAAGATTGACAAAATCGTTCCTGACGAAGAAGACGAGGTGACAATCATTGGAAATGTTCCCATCTTGTACGAAAAATCGGTTTTCGATATACCACATTTGCACAGCCTGGACATCAATGATGTGGGCTTGGAAGAAATCAAACCGGGAGCTTTTGGAAATTTACCACTTTTAAAATCGCTTGGTCTAAGCAACAATAATTTAACAGAAATTAAAACTGATACTTTTGTCGATCTAAATGTATCTTACATAGATTTGGGCTTCAATTCAATTATCCTTCTACAACCAGGAGCTTTCAAAAATTTAAACTGTGATATCTTGTTACTCAATGAGAACAAACTCACTGAATTTCCAAAAGATGTTTTTAAAAATGTTACTCTTCGAAGCTTAGATTTGGCTCATAATCTTCTCCACACCATTGCACCAAAAGCACTATCAACAATTGCATTGCGTGGATTGATTTTGTACGGTAATAAATTGGACGAAATAGATCCGGAAGTGTATGATATTCAAGAGTTAAAGTTCCTTAGTTTAAATGTCAATTTAGTCAAGCTTCTGCGACCTGGTGATTTGAGAAACTTACCAGAGTTAGAGGGACTCAGTCTTCAGAAAAACGAGTTGAAAGAAATCCCAGAAGGTGTTTTCAACAACACCAAACTCATCTACTTGAATCTCAACCAAAACAAGATCACGCAAATTGCCAGTAAAGCTTTTGATGACATGTCAGCTCTTAGTAGGTTGTCCATCCAGGACAATAATCTGACCCAGTGGGATAATAATTGGTTGAAAGGGGCGAAATCACTTGCTGACATTGTAGTGAGTTATAATCAGATAACGGAGATTCCAGACCAAGCGTTCAAAAATTATCCTAGTGTGGAGATAATTAGTTTTCAGGGAAATAAAATTAGAAATATTGCTGCTAAAGCATTTGATAAGTTAGAGCACGTTATTTCTTTAAATTTAGCTTTTAATGAGATTGATAACTGGAATCCAGATCTGGTGGTTAATGTTTATATTGGTACTTTGGATCTCACTGGAAATAAGTTACAATGTGTTGAAGGAGATTTGGAGACAGTTTTTGGAAAAGTTGTAGATATACATTTGCGAGATAATCCTTGGAATCAAGGGTGTGTCACGAAGATTGACAAATTTATAAAGAATCATCCACCATACCTCGATTTCGAATAATAAGATGTAACATTGTTTTAATATGCATAAGATAAATGTATTTAAATAAAAAATTTCATTGCTCGCCTATCACTGTCGAAAGATAACTAGAGCATCCCCCATAAACCACCCCTCCCGGACTCCCTCTACTGTATTGCTGCGTTGTTACACCCTCACTTTTCACCTCACTCTGCGTACCAGATTTCTTGCTATTTTTATGTGTCTTCACATGTTTTGCCAAATGATCTGATCTCATATCGTACACGCAAAACGTTTTTCCCCTGTGTGTGTCCGGAAGCGCCTTTGTAACTCATCCGATGTGGTAAACCTTTTCCCAGGACCCTGGTAATAGGTCAGAAGTATCCAACTATAGGTCTATAACAATCCTCTCGAATTTCTCAAAAGTTTTTGAGTACGTGATTCAAACTCAATTATCTTTTGATTTTAAAAATTTCATATCCAGCAGCCAACATGGCTTCTGTAGGGGTCGTTCGACCTTAACTAATCTAACTATGACCCAGACAATATCTCATGTATTGGATCAAAGAGGACAAACTGACATCATATATACTGACATGACTTTAGCTCTTATCTTTATAACAGGAAACAACTTGTTTGTATAAATGGTCATATATTCGATCCTTATATTGCTGTTTCTGGGGTGCCCCAAGATTCACACTTGGGTCCTTTACTATTTAATGTTTATGTGAATGATATTGTACAGGTATTGGGATGTGACTCACTTATGTATGTTGATGATCTGAAGATCTTTAACGTAATTAATTCTTGGGACGATTGTTACATGTTACAGAACTCTTTAGAAAATCTATATCAGAGGTGTGTAAGTAATATTTTTTAATTATTTTTTAGTTTTTATCCGTTTTGTCAATGTATAAATGTTTAATGTATTTGAATAATTTTGAAATTTTGTTTGGGTTTTGATTTGATTTTTTAATTTTTTGTTTATTGTTTGTATCTACATTTTGTAATTAGACATTCTTTAAGTTGAGTTTGGTTCATATTATAGGTATATTTTTTTGTATATATACATAAATAGGATAACTTCTACTACATGCTATAGATACTACGTGTTTCAAAATGATTTTCATCTAGTCGCCTACGGTTGCAGATTTTCATCAAGGGAAAGATAGGGGTTGAAGCGATTTCAAAGATTTATTTATTTATCATTCTAACGGTTTTAAAATATAAATAAATCCAGTAAGAAATTATTCTGGTACAAGTTAGGTCAAGAAAAACGTAATCTTATCATCACACTCCGTGACCTTGTTTATCTTCATTCACTAAAATTTTTCATGTGTGCAGAAACGTCAAAAATAATGCAAATTTTGCAAATTCATGCATAATTAAGGTCTACACACGAACATACTTTTATCAGTATGACGAAATTTAGCATCCAATTATGTTGTATCTAAAATATTTAATTTTGATTTTATTTATCAAGAGCAAAACAATTTCCACCGAGAACTTGATTGGTAAGAACACTGTTACCACAAATATTATAAACTTCGTGTTATATACCTATAGTTAATCGTCCAAATTTAGAAATACTGGCAGCTCTTTTTTGGAGACATTATGTCAAAATGTCAAAAAGCAGTTTTACATTTTAGTTAGGTACTTACATTTTTAAAACGTCATTTAGGACTTTTGCTTTCTAATATTTTATGTTAAAAGTATATGACATTTGGAATCAGAGATACCAACCGTGATCATCACAGTTGAGTAATGAGATCGGGGCGGGTATGGGTAATAGGTCAGAAGTATCCAACTAATCTTTGGCTTTATTTTTTTTAATATACATAGTAGGTATTCTTTGAACAACACGATACTCAAAAGCATCTTTTTAATTTCTCTTATAGAAATACGGAATTTGCAGTTAAACTCCGCCCACTTGGCTCACGATGAATAAAAAAATCATTACAATTGAGCTAGGGTGGGTGGGCGGGGCTACATTTTCTTTTTTTTTCTTAATATGTGTAGACTTATTTGGGCAACAAGAAACTTAAAACATGGTTAAAATGGTACATTTTTGCAAGGAAATATGGATTTTGTAATTATGGAGCGAAGCCTAAATGCACAACCGATATTTCCTTATATAAATTTTCCATTTTAAACATGTTTTAAGTTTCACGTTCTGAAAAAAGTCTACAGATATTAAAACCGAAAAGCAAAATATAAGCCCGCCCACCCACCCTGTCTCAATTGTGATGATTTTTTTATTCGCCGTGAACCAAGGAGGGCGGAGCTTATTAACTGCAAAATACTTATTTCTTTACAAGAAATTATGTACATTAAGAAAAAAGGCAAAATATAATGTATAAAATGATAAATTCTTGTAAACAAATATGGATCTTGCAATTAAACCCTGCCCCTCGATCTGACAACAAATAAAAAATTCATCACAATTGAGAATTGAGATCGGGACGGGTATGGGTGGGGCCTAATATTTGGCTTTATTTTTCTTAATGTACATCGTAGGTATGCTTTGAACAACACAATAGTCAAAAGCATATTTTTAACTTATCATAGAGAAATGCGGATTTTGCAGTTAAACTCCGCCCTCTTGGCTCGTGATGAATAAAAAAATCAAATCATCACAATTGAGATAGGGCGGGTGGGCCGGGCTTATATTTGGCCTTTTTTTTTTCTTAATATACGTATGGAGCGGAGCCTAATTGCAAAATCGATATTTCCTTATATAAATTTTCCATTTTAAACATGTTGTAAGTTTCAGTTCTGAAAAAAGTCTACAGATATTAAAACCGAAAGGCAAAATGTAAGCCCACCCGCCCACCCTGTCTCAATTGTGATGATTTTTTTTATTCGCCGTGAACCAGGAGGGCGGAGCTTATTAACTGCAAAAAACTATTTTCGTTACAAGAAATTAAAAACATGTTTTTGAGTATCGCGTTGTTTCTAAAAATACTATGAACATTAAGAAAAAAAGGGCCAAATATAAACCCCGCCCACCCACCCCATCCCTATTGTGATGATTTTTTTATTCTTAGAAACTTGAAACACGTTAAAAATGGTAAATATGGATTTTGCAATTAGGCTCTGCCCTTACGTCGGCCAACGAATGAAAACTCCATTACTATTTAGATCAGGGCAAGTATGGGTGGGCTTAATCTATATAATTATATAATTTAATTTAATTAATTTAATTTAATATACCTACCTAATATTCTCAAAAACATGTCTCACATGGTTGCTTCTTGTGGAGAAATAATAAGGGATTTTGCAATTAAATTCCGCTCTCTTGGCTCTCGGCGATAAAAAAAAATCATCACAATTGAGACAGGGTGGGTGGGCGGGGCTTATATCTTTTTTCTTAAACATAGTCGTCTTTTCGGAACAACAAACTCAAAACATGTTTAAAATGATCAATTTTTGTAATCAAATATGGATCTTGCAATTAAACCCTGCCCCTCGATCTGACAACAAATGAAAAATTCATCTCAAATTGATATCCGGACGGGTATGGGTGTGGCCTAATCGTTGGCTTTATTTTTTTCTTAATATATACGTAGTACCTATTCTTGAACAACACGATACTCAAAAGCATGTTTTTAATTTCTGATAACGAAATACGGATTTTGCAGTTAAACTCCGCCCTCTTGGCTCACGACGAATAAAAAAAATCATCACAATTGCGATAGGGTGGGTGGGCGGGGCTACATTTTCCTTTTGTCTTAAAACAACTGTAACGGGACTTTCAACGTCAACAAGTTTATAAATCCCACTTAAGTACTGTATGTTATAGCGAACAGCTGTACCCTGAGACCAACCGAAGAAACAGAAGTAATTTGCAAACCTAAGGACGACTGTCCCTGGGCTCTAAAATTCATACAAAAAAATGGGTACTTTCCATGGACGTGTGGTAACGAAAACTCGCTGGTGTGTTGTCGTGTTAGAAAAAGTGGCATAATAAGCAAAAAAAGTATGTTTTCGGTTTACAAAAATATATTGTTTATATTCAATCTAAATTCACTTTTAGTGTGCGCAAAGTATGCTTCTTTGGCTTACGAAGAAATGGATTCTCCGACGATGTTGGCCCATTCTTCACCTATCAAGGTGTTCAAATGTGGCCAAGGCAACGCTGGGCTCATCATTGGTGGAAAAGTGACAGAAAACCATGAGTTTCCGCATATGGTACCTAACAGCTAAAATTTTTAAAAACATAATATATTGTAATGGTGTTAAATGCAGGTACTTATCGGTTTTGTACAGAACGGTAGTTGTAGTATTACTTGGGAGTGTGGAGGTACTATATTGAGCGAATACTATATTCTGACTGCAGCTCACTGCCTAAATCATACAGAAAAGTAAGTACGGATTTTTAATTCGAATGAATAACTGGTGTGTTTTTTTTTGTAGGGGATTGGCCACATACATTAAAACAGGCATTACGCACCGAAGAGACAAAAATTACGCTAGGTATACCATAGCCCAGCGAATCCCGCACCCAAAATACCAAAAAAATTCTTACTACCATGACATCGCGCTCTTGAAGTTGGACGAACCCATTCAGCTCGGTCCTCACGTAAAACCTGCTTGTCTTTACACCGCTAAACACATACCAGTCAATAGAGGTATCGTTACTGGCTGGGGTTGCACAAGAACACTAGACAACAAATTCATACCAAGTGACAATTTATTGAAACTGAAGCTCGAAATTTTCAACCACACTTTCTGCAATAGATCTTACAAGCCCTATTTTAATCGTCATTTTAAGGAAGGAATTTACCAAGATACTCAGTTTTGCGCTGGTCCTTCGGACTGGACGGAGGAAAAAGATGCGTGTCCGGTATATATAGACAAAAATGGATTTATTTTATATGATAATGGTATTTATTGGAAATGTTTTAGGGCGACTCTGGTGGTCCTATGCAGATTTTTCACCCAGGTGACGACGTGGAATGTATGTATGATATTATCGGAGTTGTGTCATTTGGAAAAGCATGTCCCAGCAGTTCTGGGATTTATGTGAATGTGTCTGCTTACATTGGTTGGATAGAAAATATTGTTTGGCCATAAACACATACGTAATAATAATATCCCCTCGTAACTAATAAAAATTAAATTATGCAACCAAATATACACTGTATATTATTCCATTTCTTTGTTTCATTCTCCCATTCCGAAACAAAATTGACAGATTGCATCAAAATATCGACGAAATTTGTCCATAATATGCACAGTGATGGCGGTTGTTTTTTTAATTGTGGCAAATATACATAATAAAACACCAAGTAATGATAACAGCAGCAACAGCTGATCGATTTGTGTGAAGGTAAACATTCACAAACGCATAGATAATTAACTGATAAAATATAAAAACAGTGGCACAGACAACAACACAACCTACCACATTCTCAAGTGTACATCTACCTGATAGAATATCTATATTTCGGTCTGTCACTTATCCACCATATTCGATACTGAAAATGAAAATTCACAGCGCCACCTATAGTTGTTTCGTCATTGATAGGTGAATGCTCTAGGGTATTATTTGGTCAATAACGTACCTAAAATTCGGGTCATTATAGACCAATAACAAACTGATAAGTGATAAGACATAAATAACTATAATTGAAATCAGTAATTAAAAATTACAGGTTTATGGACGCGATCGTAGAAGGCGTCGTGAAGTAACTGACAGTAAGTAGAACAAGATGGCAGATAAAATTCCTGGGGAAACTGTTGAAAAAGCAAATGCTATTTTGTTACCGACAAAATCCAAAGAGAGTTATGATAAAGAATACAGTAAATTTCAATCATGGTTGCAAACCAACAATGTTGAAACAATTAATGAAACTGTGTTGCTGGAATATTTTGAAGAAATGGTAATCACACACATTTGCTTATTGTTTAATGTAGTGTAAATTGTCGTTTACAGTCCGAAGTATTTTCCCCAAGCTCATTATGGACAAAGTATTCAATGCTTAAGAAAACTCTCCTGGTTAACAAGAATATTGATTTGAGTAGTTACCATAAATTGTGTGAACACTTGAAAGAACAAATTAAAGGATACGAGTCAAAAAAGTCCAAAGTTTTATCCAGTGAGCAGGTTTTAAAATTCCTAAAAGATGCTCCTAACAAAGCATTTTTGGCAGTCAAGGTGGCTGTGTTGTTTGGCGTGTTTGGGAGATGCAGAAGGCAAGAGTTGGTGAACATATTGGTAGATAATGTAGATGATAGAGGGTCAGTCATTGTTGTCACAATACCCGCAACAAAAACTGATAAGAGGCGCATTTTTACAATTATTGACGAAAACGAAATGAACAGCATCGATCTGATTAGACAATATATGTCGCTACGACCACAATGCGAGTTAAAAAGATTTTTTCTAAATTACCGAGACGGTCGTTGTACCGCGCAGCCGATTGGAAAAAATACGTTTGGAAAGATTCCTTGCACCATTGCCAAGTACTTTGGCTTAAAAGATGCTGAAAAATATACAGGACACGGGTTGCGCCGAACCTCGGCAACGTTGCTGGCGGATTCAGGGGCTAGTATGACCACCCGGAAACGAAAAATTACAGACGTAGAGGACAATTTGGAGGACAGTATGTGTTCCAAAAACAAAATTTCAAACGGCGATGGTTGTGAACCATTCGACGAAAAGCCGTCTATATCTACTAGTGACATGCCTTCCACTGACGATGTTTCTGTAACCGATTCTGATGATAAAATCATGTTGGCTACTTTGACATCGAGTTGTGAAATATTCGATGAAAAGCCGTCTGTATCTACTGGTGATCAGTTGATCTATGATGTTTCCATAACTGATTCTGAAGATAAAATCGTGTTTGCTGGTGATCCTTCGACGTCCAGTTGTGAACCATTCGATGAAGTACCGTCTACATCTTCTACTGGTGAAGTGATCAACATGCCTTCCAGCTATGAAGTTTCTGTAACCAGTCCTGAGGCTAATAGTGGAGTGGCAAATGCAAAAATTGCGTCATCAAGCTTTACTGCTGGTAATATCACATTTACGGGACCATTCAACAACTGCACTTTTGTTGTGAATGAAAAAAAAGTTGGTACAAGTCTACCCTTAAAGTACGAATAAAGATTATTTAATTAACAACTGTTTAATTACACAATACTGCATAACACAACCCTCATTCCATTTTCCATTTCCTACCTACTATTTTTCACAAGCATTGACAAGAGTGGATCGTATAGCATGTCGTATATACTTTCATACAGCCAAAATTTTATTGGTCCGGGACCACATCAACATGTCTTCCGGTATAGCTACCCACTCCTCGGACACCGTCTTCGTATTCCTCAATCCTCAATAGCAACATCTTGGGTACAATCAGCAACTACAAACACTTGATACGCACCTTCCGGACCCTTCGACGCTCCGAGATCATCTCCGGCTACGTCTCCATCTACCCCAACTACCTCCACCGTTGCCGTCTACATCTACTACATCTACTACATCAGTTCAGACGGAGGCTGCTTAATATACATTTGAAAGAGGTATTCTTGATATGGGGGATGTAGGTACGATCGGCTACAACCAGAAAAACCGCATGGACACCCTCCTCTACAGCTTGGTGTATCCGCAAGCTCCCATGGTCAAGACCAAATCCATCGAACTGACCAACTTCGACAAGCTCCCGGCCGGCCAGAACGCCACCATCGCTGTCATGAGCTACAGCGGCTACGACATCGAAGACGCCCTCATCATCAACAAAGCGTCGATCGACAGAGGCTTCGGTCGCGTTTGGTGTACAAGAACTCCAAGTGCATGATGAAGCGCTACGCCAACCAGACTTTTGACCGCATCCAGGGTCCGCTCATCGACAGTACGACCGGTGCGTCGATGTGGAAGCACGGAGTCCTAGACGCTGACGGAATCGTGGCACCAGGAGAACTAGTCGAAAATAAACAAGTCCTAGTGAACAAATCAGTCCCCACGGTTTCTTCTGTCCCAGGGAGTCAGTCGACGTCCGTGGAGTACAAAGACACACCGATTTGTTATAGGAACAACGAACCCAGCTATATAGAGCAGGTTCTAGTGAGCAATAATGAAGAGGACACTACGATTATCAAGATTTTGTTGAGGCAGACGCGAAGATCCGAAATTGGGGACAAGTTTAGTTCGAGGCATGTGCAGAAAGGGGTTGTAGGGTTGGTGGTGGACCAGGAGGATTTGCCTTTCAATGAATACGGGATTTGTTCTGTTATTATAATAAACCCTCATGGATATCCGTCTAGAATGACGGTAGGAAAGTTGATTGAGTTGCTTTCCGGGAAAGCAGGCGTGGTGGAAGGTAAGTTCCACTATGGGACGGCTTTTGGTGGGTCGAAGGTGGAAGATGTCTGTGAGGAGTTGGCCAAAAACGGGATTAACTATCAAGGGAAGGATTTTTTCTATTCGGGGATTACGGGCGAGCCCCTGGAAGCCTACATCTACTCAGGGCCTGTCTACTACCAGAAGCTGAAACATATGGTTCAGGATAAAATTCACGCCCGGTATGTTCTGGTTATAGTTGTGTCTGCACAGTGTGATTGTTTTTGTATAGAGGGAGAGGTCCAAGAGCTGTTTTGACGCGGCAACCCACTGAAGGAAGAAGTAGAGATGGAGGGCTTCAGCTTGGCGAGATGGAGCGGGACTGTTTTATAGGTTATGGCGCAAGGTATGTGACTGACGAACTTTCCAATTTTTACAAAGCAACTTAATTTTTTTTTATAGTATGATGCTGGTGGAGCGACTGATGGTTTCGAATGACCAGTGTTCAGCCAAAGTGTCCAGTATTAATATGCCTTACACTTGCAAACTACCCTTGACGGAACTACAAGCCATGAACATCACGGCGAGGCTAACTCTTAATCATTACTGTGAATGAATTGTGATTTTAATTTTAATAAAAACAAAAAAAAAAACATTTTTTTATTAAAAAGAAATACACTACGAAATTAGTTCGGAACGTACGATCTCGTCTTCGGTGCCTTTTCCTTCCTCGTAGTAAAATCCTTAATTTTTTCTGCACACTCCGTGTCCCAAGGATTATTCTCCAACTGCACAAAATCGTTGTTCTTAAAAATATCGTCCAAGTTCCCGTCAATACATTTCAACTTATTCCCGCTAAGATCAATAGTACCGATACTAACACCAACCAACCAATCCGGACCCCAACTATCAATTTCATTATCCCGCAAACTAAAATTAACAACATGTTCCAACTTATGAAACGCTTTGGCTGAAATCTTCCTAATTTGATTCCCCTGGAGATCAATACTGTACAACTTCGGGTAATTCTTGAACGCTTCGTCTGGAATTTCGCTAAACTGGTTAAAACCGGCCATCACATAATCAGGCTTTGAAGTCCTACCCAACCAATTATTGTCCCACTGAGTCAAATTGTTGTGGTCAAAGTGCAGCACACTAATTTTTGACATACCGTCAAACGCTTTACTCGCAATCGTGGCAATTTTGTTGTAATTAAGCTTCAAGTGAGTAATTTTACTGTTGTTGAAAACTCCCTCCGGAAGTTCTTCTCGTTTGTTGGCGACGAGGTCCAGCGCGTTTAACTGTGGTAAGTTCTTCAAGTCTCCAGCTCGTAGATGCTTGATTGAGTTGAAGTCCAAACTCAGCGACGTTAACTCGGGCATGTCGAAAGCTTCGGGGTCGATTTCTTCGAGTTTGTTCTCAGATAGAACTAAAGACGATAGTGAAGTTGTTGCTAAAGCTTTGGGTGCGATAGTTTTGAGAAGAGTGTTGTATAAGTGTAAGCTTCCAAGAGTCACATTTTCAAAGACACCACTCGGAAATTCAACGATTTGGTTGTTACTGAGTGTCAAGTGTCTAATATTGATATTCTTGAAGGTCTCAGGTTGTAGAGTGGTGATAGAATTTTGTGACAAATCTATAGTGGACACGTTTAAATCTCTAAACGTGTCACTTTTGAGTTCAGTTAGTTTATTCTTACTCAGAATCAAAATTTGCAACACTGGTAGATTAACAAACGCACCAGGTTTTATCTCTTCCAAATCCACTCCAGAAAGTACCAATGATTTTAAATTTTCAATGTCACTAACCGATCGTTCGTACAAAATGGGAACTTCACCATTAATATTCACCGACATTTCTTCACCGCTAGGGACGTCATTTTTAAGACTATTTGAAGTAACCACTGTTGTGTTTCTACCGGTATCAGATACCCACTCAACTGTTACATTTTTAAAAGTAATTTCTTCCCTAGTACTAGCTTTACAAAGAACAACAGCGATCGCTAGTCTGGTCAGAATGTAGTACATCTTTACGACTGGAATATTTTTTTATTAAAGTGAAATACACTACGGAATTAATTCGGAACGTACGATCTCGTCTTCGGTGCCTTTTGCTTCCTCGTAGTAAAATCCTTAATTTTTTCTGTAGACTCTGTGTCCCAAGGATTATCCTCCAATTGCACAAAATCATTATTCTTGAAAATGTCGTCCAAGTCCCCTTCAATACACTTCAACTTATTCCCGCTAAGATCAATAGTACCCGATACTAACACCAACCAACTATCAATTTCATTATCACGCAAACTAAAATTAACAACGTGTTCCAACTTATGAAAAGCTTTGGCTGAAATCTTCCTAATTTTATTCCCCTGGAGATCAATACTGTACAACTTCGGGTAATTCTTGAACGCTTCGTCTGGAATTTCGCTAAACTGGTTAAAACCGGCCATCACATAATCAGGCTTTGAAGTCCCACCCAACCAATTATTGTCCCACTGAGTCAAATTGTTGTGACCAAAGTGCAGCACACTAATTTTTGACATATCGTCAAACGCTTTACTCGCAATCGTGGCAATTTTGTTGTAATTTAGCTTCAAGTGAGTGATTTTACTGTTTGTCGAAAACTCCCTCCGGATTTTCTTGTAATTTGTTGGTAACGAGATCCACCGTGTTTAGTTCTGGATTTCTGATAAGTCAAAATTCAGCGATATTATTGTTATTAACGAGTGCTAAATGTCTAATGTTAATATTCTTGAAGGCTCTAGACTGTAAGTTAGTGATATAATTTGTTGATAAATCTATATATATAACTTTACATTTAAATTACTCTTCTCATCCCCTGAAGCGGCCCTTCGCAGGTCCGGGAACTACACACTTTATCAACGATTCAAACAAAGACTCTACATTACTTCAAATTATATAAATTTTAGCGTTGATGATGTAATCAATCTTTAACGTTGCGTGGACATGCCTCGGTGGTGCAATGTTGATAATGAAGAGATAACTGCCTAAGGGAAGAAACTATTGTCAATTTTATGCATTTTGGCGTTCGTAGATATAAGAAAATTCTTAAAATTCTTCAGAAACGTCACTTTTGAAGTATTTTTTTGTAGTTTTAAGCCAATCAGAAACCCTACGGACTCGGAAAGAGCAACGAACCCATCAAATTTTAGCTAGAAACAGTTTTTTTGTCGATTTTTATTAAATCTGAACTATTTTTCAACATTTTTTGATGATTCTGAGCTACGAAACACACTTAGAGCATGCAGAATCGTCTCAGATTAGGAAAAGGAGACGTTTGGGTCAATTTTATGCATTCTGGCGTTCGTAGATACAAGAAAATTGTTAAAATTCTTCAGAAACGTCGCTTTTGAAGTGTTTTCTTGTAGTTGTAAGCCAATCAAAAACCCTACGGGCTCGGAAAGAGCAACGAAACCATCTAATTTTAGCTAGAAACAGTATTTTAGTCGATTTTTATTAAATCTGAACTATATTGCAACATTTTTTTATGATTCTGAGCTACGAAACACACATGCAGAATCGTCTCAGATTAGGAAACGTTTGGGAAACTACTGTAAATGAACTATTAGCAATTTTTGTGTGAAGAATTAAGAAGTGTTATAATGTAACACTTATGTATTAACATCCAAAAACTTATTCGTCACTTGTTAAACAAAGAGTTGTCCTGACTAAGTGAATTTAATGAAATCTTCTAGCAAGTGGTTTATTTAAATAATCCTGATATCGTTAAACTGTGTTAGCAATAGTTAACGATTAAACTCCTAACCTGAACTAGGAATTTACAAACAATGGATCAAATTTACACGTGTTAACGCCGATCAAAAAGTCGCATTTTTCCAATTAAAAAGCCGCAAGAATTAGCTACACGTCATCGTTACGATTAACTGTCGTTAAACAAAGGTTTCCTCCCTTTTATTAACTACCAAACCAACTACTTTAACCTAGCTACTTAAAGCGTCAATTCACTACACCGAACCAAAAAGTAATGAATCACGCTTTCATCATGTTCTCGCCATGCCGCTCTCTTGTCAAGGTTAACTACCGCCCTCTAACTAAACATGTAGAACTACCAACTAGCCCCAAGCGCTAACGTTCACATGGTTCCCTATGTTTAACGATTTTTTTGTTTGAATTTTTCTTTCTCAAATTCAATTATTCAGTTAATTAATTTCAGAGCGAAAATTTGATTCAAATTCAGTCACCACAATATGATGAGTTTTTACGTGTGATTTATCACTGCGTTCATATTTTTGATGTGCTTAAATAAGTGGCTCAAAAAATTTAAAGAATGAGTCAATTTTATTGGTTAAATCAATGATGTTATGTTTAGTATTACACTACACCAATCCAAGTTCATATACGTGTCCTTGCAAAAATGTTGATGCAGTCATCACAAAATTGTGTAAACAAAAAAATCAACTTGAAAATGTTGAATATCTTTCATTGTACTTCAGGAGCCTTATGTTGGAAAACTCTTAGTTAATCCACTGTGAAAGTGTGGTCTGAAAAGGTAAATCAAGTAATAAAAGTTGGCAAAGGCATAATGTGGGAAAAATTATCTTGTATTATTGGTTGCATATTTGCAGAAATGTGGGTTAAGATTATCGGTTTAACACAATTGTTTTAAAAAAGAACTTTTATTTTATTAGTAATTCTTATTTTACACTTGATTAACGGTCGGAATCTCTTAATTGAAAAATGAATTATTGCGATATCTTCTATAAGGAGGGAAATTACAGAATTGGAGTTCTCATGTTGATATTTTCGATTCAATAGTTTTTTTCTATTAATATTCAAAATGGAAAAACCATTCAAATTTATTTTCAGTCACAAATAGTAATCATAATTTATTATGCAGTTACCAGTTTTTTTAATTTAAGATCCGTTTTACCTGGAACCATTAACATTCGTTTTATAATCTTTGCGTTAATTAAATCTCCTGGAAAAACCATCACATCACTTCAAGGCGAGCCCAGCACACACCTAACCCAAAGATTAATTAACAAAATGCCGCATACCTACGTAAACAATACTTTCCTACACGTCCATCTTCCGGTATGTGCAAACATGACTGTCTTGTTTGTCTTCGCCAGAGGAACGACCTTCATTTCCAAACAAGCCACGTCTTTAATGAGTTCTGTAAATGCATCACCTTACCTTGACACTGACATTCTACTACTTTATAAACATGACGCTCAGTACGAACAATATTTCAGTCGTAAAGATGTACTTCATTCTGACCAGACTAGCGATCGCTGTTGTTCTTTGTAAAGCTAGTACTAGTGAAGAAATTACTTTTAAAAATGTAACAGTTGAGTGGGTATCAGATACCGGTAGTAACACAACAGTGGTTACTTCAAATAGTCTTAAAAATAACGTCCCTAGCGGTGAAGAAGTGTCGGTGAATATTAATGGTGAAGTTCCTATTTTGTACGAACGATCGGTTAGTGACATTGAAAATTTAAAATCATTGGTACTTTCTGCAGTGGGTTTGGAAAAGATAAAACCTGGTGCGTTTTTTAATCTACCAGTGTTGGAAATTCTGATTCTGAGTAAGAATAAACTAACTGAACTCAAAAGTGACACGTTTAGAGATTTAAACGTGTCTACTATAGATTTGTCACAAAATTCTATCACCAGTCTACAACCTGGCGCTTTCAAGAATATCAATATTAGACATTTGGCACTCAGTAATAATCAAATCGTTGAATTTCCGAGTGGTGTCTTTGAAAATGTGACCCTTGGAAGCTTACACTTATACAACACTCATCTCAAAACCATCGCACCCAAAGCTTTAGCAACAACTTCACTATCGTCTTTAGTTCTGTCTGAGAACAAACTCGAAGAAATCGACCCCGAAGCTTTCGACATGCCCGAGTTAACGTCGCTGAGTTTGGACTTCAACTCAATCAAGCATCTACGAGCCGGGGACTTGAAGAACTTACCACAGTTAAACACGCTGGATCTCGTCGCCAACAAACTAGAAGAAGTGCCGGAGGGAGTTTTCAACAACAGTAAAATCACTCACTTGAAGCTAAATTTCAACAAAATTGCCACGATTGCGAGTAAAGCGTTTGACGATATGTCAAAAATTAGTGTGCTGCATTTTGACCACAACAATTTGACCCAGTGGGACAACAATTGGTTGGGTGGGACTTCAAACCCTGATTATGTGATGGCCGGTTTTAACCAGTTCAGCGAAATTCCAGACGAAGCGTTCAAGAATTATCCGAAGTTGTACAGTATTGATCTGCAGGGGAATAAAATTATGAAGATTTCACCTAAAGCCTTTCATAAGTTGGAACGTGTTGTTAATTTTAGTTTGCGCGATAATGAAATTGATAGTTGGGGTCCGGATTGGCTGGTTGGTGTTAGTATCGGTACTATTGATCTTAGCGGGAATAAGTTGAAGTGTATTGACGGGGACTTGGACGATATTTTTAAGAACAATGATTTTGTGCAGTTGGAGGATAATCCTTGGGACACGGAGTGTGCAGAAAAAATTAAGGATTTTACGACGAGGAAGGAAAAGGCACCGAAGACGAGATCGTACGTTCCGAATTAATTCCGTGGTGTATTTCTCTTTAATAAAAAAATATTGTTTTTTGTTTTGTTTTTATTAAAATTAAAATCACAATTCATTCACAGTAATGATTAAGAGTTAGCCGCGCCGTGATGTTCATGGCTTGTAGTTCCGTCAGGAGTAGCTTGCAGGCGTAAGGCATCGTAATACTGGACACTTGGGCTGAACTTTTGCAACTGTTGCACCATCCGCAGTATCCTAGTCGACCGCACTGATTACAAACGTCAACTTCGCATTGGTCGCTCGAAACCATCAGTCGCTCCACCAGCATCATACTATAAAAAAAAAATTAAGTTGCTTTGTAAAAATCCGAAAGTTCGACAGTCGTACCTTGCGCCATAACCTATAAGACAATCCCGCTCCATCTCGCCAAGCCGAAGCCCTCCATCCCTACTTCTTCCTTCAGTGGGTTGCCGCGTCAGAACAGCTCTTGGACCTCTCCCTCTATACAAAAACAATCACACTGTGCAGACACAACTATAACCAGAACATACCGGGCGTGAATTTTATCCTGAACCATATGTTTCAGCTTCTGGTAGTAGACAGGTCCCGAGTAGATATAGGCTTCCAGAGGCTCCCCCGTAATGCCCGAGTAGAAAAAATCCTTCCCTTGATAGTTAAACCCGTTTTTGGCCAACTCCTCACAGACATCTTCCACCTTCGACCCACCAAACGCCGTCCCATAGTGGAACTTACCTTCCACCACGCCTGCTTTCCCGGAAAGCAACTCAATCAACTTTCCTACCGTCATTCTAGACGGATACCCATGAGGGTTCATTATAATATCAGGACAAATCCCGTATTCATTGAACGGCATATCTTCCTGCTCCACCACCAACCCTACAACCCCTTTCTGCCCATGTCTCGAACTAAACTTGTCCCCAATTTCGGGTCTTCGCGTCTGCCTCAACAAAATCTTGATAATCGTGGTGTCCTCTTCATTAGTGCTCACTAGAACCTTCTCTATATAGCTGGGTTCGTTGTTCCTATAACAAATCGGTGTGTCTTTGTATTCCACGGAGGTCGACTGACTCCCTGGGACAGACGAAACCGTGGGGACTGATTTGTTCACTAGGACTTGTTTATTTTCGACTAGTTCTCCTGGTGCCACGATTCCGTCAGCGTCCAGGACTCCGTGCTTCCACATCGACGCACCGGTCGTACTGTCGATGAGCGGACCCTGGATTCGGTCGAAAGTCTGGTTGGCGTAGCGCTTCATCATGCACTTGGAGTTCTTGTAGACCAAGCAGCGTCCGAAGCCTCTGTCGATCGAAGCTTTGTTGATGATGAGGGCGTCTTCGATGTCGTAGCCGCTGTAGCTCATAACAGCGATGGTGGCGTTCTGGCCGGCCGGGAGCTTGTCGAAGTTGGTCAGTTCGATGGACTTGGTCTTGACCATGGGGGCTTGCGGGTACACCAAGCTATAGAGGAGGGTGTCCATGCGGTTTTTCTGGTTGTAGCCGATCGTACCTATACCCCCCACATCAAGAATACCTCTTTCAAGTGTATATTAAGACTCACCCATCGCCTGTTTCCCCATAGCACATTGATACGTGTTCCTCGGGGACTGGTTATGGTGGGGATAGGGTACCAACCCAGCACACACCCCCAACAACGTAAAAGTAGCAATCTCCAAGTGGCTCGTCTGTTCCGTGATGTCCTTCTCGTAGCACGCTATATAGCTATCGTTCTCTTCGTTAACATCAAGGAACTCGATCAAACCTGTACAAACACCCATAAAACCTCTAAGTTTACTCAATCCACGAGGTACTACCATCATGGAGAAAATCCTCAAAGCTCCTGATTCCCTTCTCCATTTCCACTATGTGTTGCTGCGTCACTAGGGGTTTCCCGTTTTCTACGATAATGTAAGGGCGACACAAGCGGCCTCCGTCTGAACTAATGTAGACACAGCGGTGAAGGAAGTTGGGGTAGATGGAAACGTAGCCGGAGATGATCCCGGAACGTCGTAGCGTCCGGAAGGTGCGTATGAGACGTTTGTAGTTGCGGATTGTGCCCAAGATGTTGCCGTTGAGGAACACGAAAAAAGTGTCCGAGGAGTGGATAGCCATACCGGAGGACATGTTGATGTCGACCACGCCGGCGTTGTTGGCCAGTCGGATCAGAGGGTACTCGTCGACTTCGGTGGTAATATGTGTCATGAGGGCCAAGTTCTTCACGAGCCCGCAGGCCTACAAGGGAACGAATCTCAGTTACTACCGAATTTATAAAAAAAATATATGTACCTCTCCTTCGGGTGTATCGCTCGGACACAACATCCCCCACTGACTCGGCTGCAGCGACCTCGGCCCTGACACTTTCCTGGTCTTCTCGAACTGCGAATTCACCCTGGTCATCATCCCCAAAGCCGAAATATAACTCAACCTAGACAAAACTTGCGTGACCCCCAGTCGTTCCATCCTGAATCTCTTGATAGTCCAGTTACCCTACAACCGACCAATCAAAATCGACTCGTACTAATACTACAACCACGTACCGTGGATATGGCGTACACCAAACAATTCGTGATCAAATCAGACCGCATATACTTGACGACGTCGAACTGAGTGGCCCGAATTTTGGGAATAGTCTTCTCAGCGATGGATTTAAGCTCCCAGTTGAAGCGTTTGAAGACGTCTTCGAACATCAAAGACAGAAGAGAACCAGCCAGTTCGAGACGTTTGTTGCCGTAGTAGTCTTTGTCGTCGAGGAATTTTTTATCACTTTGAGCCTCAATGACTCTAAAATGATACTAGTTTAAACAAGATGCTAAAATCGTGTATAAATACAAAATACCTTTTGACCATGACACCTAAGTAGATGGCTTTCATACGAAAATTGTAGTCCTCCACAGGCACGTGTGCCAGAACCGTAGTGGCCAAAATATCCCTAGCTTCGTCCACAGGTGTCTTAATTTTACTAGCAGAAGTGACGTATCTCTTAGCTACTAATTTTGACCCAATATGTTTCAAAGCCCCCAATTGGGTGTAAATTTTCAAATTATGACACTCTTCCAGAGTTGCGGTCAGTTTTGAAATGTCCTCGACGCCGATCATTTCGCACATTTCTTTATCACTAGTGACGTTTAACGCTTTAAAAATTATAGAAACGGGAATGAGCTTAAAAATACAAAATAAGTTAGTAAAATTACGCTAAATCACGAAAATTCTTACGTCAGTCAAGGAATTGTGGCTTAAGTAGTATTTATTCCCTTTAGCTAGAACGTTTGTTTTGGACTTTTTCTCGTGCGTGGAACTCGTAACTGTACATTGTACCCCGAATTTTGACTCCTCCACTATCATTCTGTTTCTGGACAATTGCTCCTGGATCAAAATTACCTTTTCTTGGCCCTTTACCACAAAGTAACCCCCCGGGTCCAAAGGGCACTCGTTCATTTTAGCTAGTTCGTATTCGGATTTATTGCTTAGGACGCAGTTGGACGAACGTAGCATTATGGGCATTCTACAAATAAATTTGAGCGAAAAATATTAAACAAAAAAATTGATGACAGTCACGCCATCTGGCGACAACACTTTTACAGAAAAGGTTCGTATTTCTGCTATTTTGTCGTTCAACGACTTTAGTGTAGGATTTAAGTTGATTATTGCAAAAATTTACCATTTTAGACATGTTTCAAGTTTCTTGTTGCCGAAATAAGTCTACACATTTAAGAAGAAAAGACCAAATATAAGCCCCGCCCACCCGCCCTATCTCAATTGTAATGATTATTTTTATTCGTTCTGAGGCAAGAGGGTGGAGTTTAACTGCAAAATTCTTATTTCTCTACGAGAAGTTAAAATCATGTTTTTATGAAGCCAAATCTCAATTCTCAACTGTGATGAATTTTTCATTCGTTGTCTGATTGAGGGGCGGAGCTTAATTGCAAGATCCATATTTGTCTACTTATTTATTTAGTTATTTACTTACTTATTTACCACTTTAAACATGTTTTAATTTTCTTCTTCTGAAAAACGGCTACGTATATTAAGAAAAAAGATAACATATGAGCCCCACCCACCCACCCGATTTCAATTATGATGATTTTTTTTAATCGTAAAAATGAGGAATTTAATTGCAAAATCCGTATTTTCTCTCTACAAGAAATTAGCATGTAAGACATTTGTTTGAGAATACAATGTATATTAAGAAAAAATTAAAGCCAAAGATTAAGCCTCACCCATAATCGCCCTGATCTAAAACGAATGAAGTTTTCATTCGTTGGCAGACCTAGGGGAGGAGCCTAATGGTAAAATCCATAATTCCTTACAACGTGTTTTAAGCTTCTAAGAATGAAAAAAATCATCACAATTGAGATGGGGTGGGTGGGTGGGGTTTTATATTTTGCCTGTTTTTCTTAATATCTCTTTAATTTCTTGTAAAGAAATAAGTATTTTGCAGCTAAGCTCCGCCCCCTTGCTTAACGGCGAATAAAAAAAATCATCACAATTAAGATAGGGCGGGTGGGCGGACTTATTATTAAGCGCCGCTCTATAATTGGAAAATCCATATTTTCTTGCAAAAATGTACCATTTTAACCATATTTTAAGTTTCTTGTTGTGAAAAGATGGCTACGTATATTAAGAAAAAAAGACCAAATACAAGCCCCGCCCACCCACCCTATCTCAATTCTGATGATTTTTTCATTCGTTGTCAGACCGAGGCGCCGAACTTAATTGTAAAATCCTTATTTTTCTAGGAGACATTACCATGTAAAATATGTTCTTAAATAATCGTGTTATACAAAGAAAACAAAATGTATTAATTAAAAAAGAAAACCAAAAAAGAAGCCCCACCCATCCGTCTCGATCTCAATTGTGATGAATTTTTTATTCGTTGTCAGACCGATGGGCGGGACTTAATTACCAAATATCATATTTTCTTACGAAAATGTACCATTTTAAACGTGTTTCAAGTTTCTAAGAATTAAAAATCATCACAATTCAGATCGGGTGGGTGGGTGGGGTTTTATATTTTGCCTATTTTTCTTAATATACGTAGTATTCTTTAAACAACACAATACACAAAAACATGTTTTTAATTTCTTGTAAAGAAATAAGTATTTTGCAGTTAAGCTCCGCCTCCTTGCTTAACAGCGAATAAAAAAACACAATTGAGATCGGGTGGGTGGGTGGGGTTTTATATTTTGCCCGTTTTTCTTAATATACATAGTATTCTTTAAACAACACGATACTCAGAAACATCTTTTTAATTTCTTGTAGAGAAATAAGTATTTTGCAGCTACACTCCGCCCCCTTGCTTAACGGCGAATAAAAAAAATCATCACAATTGAGATAGGGCGGGTGGGCGGGCTTATATTTATATATTAAATATCGATTTTGTTAAGCGCCGCCCCATAATTGCAAAATCCATATTTTCTTGCAAAAATGTACCATTTTAACCATGTTTTAAGTTTCTTGTTGTGAAAAAATGGCTACGTGCATTAAGAAAAAAAAGACCAAATATAAGCCCCGCCCGCCCGCCCTATCTCAATTCTGATGATTTTTTCATTCGTTGTCAGACCGAGGGGTCGAGCTTAATTGCAAGATCCATATTTCTCTACAAGTACTTACCATTTTAAAAATGTTTTAAGTTTCTTGTTCTGAAAAACGACTACGTATATTAAGAAAAAAGGTAACATATAAACCCCGCCCACCCACCCGATTTCCATTATGATGATTTTTTTAATCGTCGAGAGCCAAAAGAGGAATTTAATTGCAAAATCTGTATATTTTTTTTTCTACAAGAAATTATCATGTAAGACATTAGATTGAGAATACAATATATTAAGAAAGATTAAAGCCAAAGATTAAGCCTCACCCATACCCGGTCTGATCTAAATAGTAATGAACTTTTCATTCGTTGGCAGACTTAGAGGCGGAGCCTAATTGCAAAAACCATATTAACTTACAAAAATTTATCATTTTAAACGTGTTTTAAACTTCTAAGAATGAAAAAATCATCACAAATGAGACGGGGTGGGTGGGTGGGGTTTTTATATTTTGACTGTTTTTCTTAATGTACATAGTATTCTTTAAACAACACGATACTCAAAAACATGTTATTAATTTTTTGTGAAAAAATAAGTATACAATTGAGATAGGGCAGGTGGGCGGGATTATATTTTGCCTTTTGGTTTTAATATGTGTAGACTTATTTTCAGAACGTGAAGCTTAAAACATGTTTAAAATGGAAAATTTATATAAGGAAATATCGATTTTGCAATTAGGCTCCGCCCCATAATTGCAAAATCCATATTTCCTTGCAAAAATGTACCATTTTAACCATGTTTTAAGTTTCTTGTTGTGAAAAGATGGCTACGTATATTAAGAGAAAATAGACCAAATATAAGCCCCGCCCACCCGCCCCATCTCAATTCTGATGATTTTTTTATTCGAGGGGCCGAGCTTAATTGTAAAATCCTCATTTTTCTACGAGACATTATCATGTGAAATATGCCCTTAAATAATCGTGTTATACAAAGAAAACTAAATGTATTCATTAAAAAAGAAAACCAAAAGAGAAGCCCCACCCATCCGTCTCGATCTCAATCGTGATGAATTTTTTATTCGTTGTCAGACCGAGGGGCGGGGCTTAATTACAAAATCCATATTTTCTTACGAAAATTTACCATTTTAAACGTGTTTCATGTTTCTAAGAATTAAAAAATCATCACAATTGAGATCGGGTGAGTGGGCGGGGTTTTATATTTTGCCTGTTTTTCTTAATATACAATGTATTCTTTAAACAACACGATACTCAGAAACATGTTTTTAATTTCTTGTAAAGAAATAAGTATTTTGCAGCTAAGCTCCGTCCCCTTGCTTAACAGCGAATAAAAAAAATCATCACAATTGAGATCGGGCGGGTGGGCGGGCATATATTCTGCTTTTTGGTTTTAATATGTGTAGACTTCTTTTCAGAACGTGAAACTTAAAACATGTTTAAAATGGAAAATTTGTATAAGGAAATATCGATTTTACAATTAAGCTCCGCCCCATAATTGGAAAATCTATATTTTCTTGCAAAAATATACCATTTTAACCATGTTTTAAGTTTCTTATTATGAAAAGATGGCTACGGATATTAAGAAAAAAAAGACCAAATATAAGCCCCGCCCACCCGCCCTATCTCAATTCTGATGATTTTTTCATTCGTTGTCAGACCGAGGGGCGGAGCTTAATTGCAAGATCCATATTTCTCTACAAGTATTTACCATTTTAAAAATGTTTTAAGTTTCTTGTTGTGAAAAACGACTACGTATATTAAGAAAAAAGGTAACATATAAACCCCGCCCACCCACCCGATTTTAATTATAATGATTTTTTTTTTAATGGTCGAGAGCCAAAAAAGAGGAATTTAATTGCAAAATCCGTATTTTTTTCTCTACAAAAAATTATCATCTAAGACATCTGTTTGAGAATACAACCTATTAAGAAAAAATTAAAGCCAAAGATTGAGCCTCACCCATACCTGCTCTGAACTAAATAGTAATGAACTTTTCATTCGTTGGCAGACCGAGGGGCGGGGCTTAATTGCAAAATCCATATTTCCTTACAAAAATTTACCATTTTAAACGTGTTTCAAGTTTCTAAGAATTAAAAAAATCATTACAATTGAGATCGGGTGGGTGCGTGGGGTTTTATATTTTGCCTTTTTTTCTTAATATAAATAATATTCTTTAAACGACATGATACCCAAAACCATGTTTTTAATTTCTTGTAAAGAAATAAGTATTTTGCAGTTAAGCTCCGCCCCCTTGCTTAACAGCGAATAAAAAAATCATCACAATCGAGATAGGGCGGGTGGGCGGGCCTATATTTTGCCTTTTGGTTTTAATATGTGTAGACTTCTTTTCAGAACGTGAAACTTAAAACATGTTTAACATGGAAAATTTGTATAAGGAAATATCGATTTTACAATTAAGCTCCCCCCCATAATTGGAAAATCTATATTTCCTTGCAAAATGTACCATTTTAACCATGTTTTAAGTTTCTTGTTGTGAAAAGATGGCTACATATATTAAGAAAAAAAGACCAAATATAAGCCCCGCCCACCCACCCTATCTCAATTATGATGATTTTTTCATTCGTTGTCAGATCGAGGGACGGGGCTTAATGGCAAGATCCATATATGTCTACAAGAATTTACCATTTTAAACATATTTTAAGTTTCTTGTTCTGAAAAACGACTACGTATATTAAGAAAAAAGGTGACATATAAGCCCCGCCCACCCACTCGATTTCAATTATGATGATTTTTTTAATCGTAGAGAGCCAAAAAAGAGGAATTTAATTGCAAAATCCGTATTTTTTTTCTACAAGAAATTATCATGTAAGACATTTGATTGAGAATACAATGTACATTAAGAAAAAATTAAAGCCAAAGATTAAGCCTCACCCATACCTGCCCTGATCTAAATAATAATGAAGTTTTCATTCGTTGGCAGACCTAGGGGCGGAGCCTAATTGCAAAATCTATATTAACTTACAAAAATTTATCATTTTAAACGTGTTTCAAGTTTCTAAGAATTAAAAAATCTTCATAATTGAGATCAGGCAGGGTTTTATATTTTGCCTGTTTTTCTTAATACATATACATATTATTCTTTAACCAACACAATACTCAGAAACATGTTTTTAATTCCATGTAAAGAAATGAGTATTTTGCAGCTAAGCTCCGCCCCCTTGCTTAACAGCGAATAAAAAAAATTATCACAATTGAGATCGCGCGGCTGGGCGGGCATATATTTTGCTTTTTGGTTTTAATATGTGTAGACTTCTTTTCAGAACGTGAAACTTAAAACATGTTTAAAATGGAAAATTTGTACAAGGAAATATCGATTTTACAATTAAGCTCCGCCCCATAATTGGAAAATCTATATTTTCTTGCAAAAATGTACCATTTTAACCATGTTATAAGTTTCTTGTTGTGAAAAAAAGGCTACATATATTAAGAAAAAAGACCAAATATAAGCCCCGCCCACCCGCCCTGTCTCAATTGTGATGATTTTTTTTATTCATGGTGAGCCAAGAGGGCGGAGCTTAACTGCAAAATCCTTATTTTTCCACGGGAAATTACCAAATGAAACATGTTCTTAAATAAGCGTAAGTGGCAGCGGCAACGTAACGGCGAAAATTACACGTTGGTTACCTCGAACGGATGATACGAATGATGCGTACCTTTGTTGCGTATTTATCTTACAACAACAACGTCAGTAGAAAGTTTATAAATGGACTTTTTATTGCAGCACAATTTTGATTTTTTGGTTAGTTATTAAATACACACCTTCCTATCATGAGTCCCGCCTTAGACACCCTCTGGGTGCCCCTAGTGTACTCAATATCCACGGAAATTGGCGCAGAATAGGTCATATCTCTCAATCGACACTCATGTGGTGTGGTGGGTTTGCTAATATTGAAACCCTCGTCAACGTCGGGTCTTCCCACATAAACATTTGTGTACCTATAATTAATTAGTGCTAAAAAACAAGCGAACGAAAAATTCCGCATACTCACTTAACATAAAACAGAGGATCTGCATCACAAACCAACTTGTTGTTGGCTTCGACGATTTTTTTAATATCGACGTTAATAAAATAGTTGAACGAGTCGATGTGTTGTTTGACTAAGCCTTTGACTTTGAGGAAAGCTGGTACTAATTTCCATTTTTCCTAAAAGTGGTGGATGGAAATATTGTATTGTTGCACAAAATTGTTACTTACCTCTATTTCTTTGATGGGTTTTTTCAGTAGAGAAGGGTCGTCGAAGTACATTTTAATGTTTTATTCTTACTGTTTAATAAATAAGAGGGTTTGTTTTTTATTCTTACGAACAGTTACTTGTTTACATTCGACATTTTGAGGTTATAAAATGTGAGGTTAGGTTATCGTGAAACGTAGTCTCATAAGTGTTTTTTTGGTTGTAATGTTGGCAACGTGAAAATGGAAGGATTCTCGGTGCGATTTGTTTGACGACGTGCAGATGACAGCACTACGATTAAATCTTATTTTTATTGTTAATATGTTAATAATATCATAATTAAACAATTAATTATAATAAGGTAACCGTATTAACGATAATAATTTTTTTAGTCATAATGTTGTAGTATATTTAAAAAATATTTACAGGTAATGCTGTATAATTGGTTGCCTATATTTAACATTGCAATATAAATTTCTATATATACAGAATGTTCGTTTTATATGTTCACGCCTGACAATTTTTGCATAGGCAACATATTATACAGGTAGATACATAGGTCCGTTTAAATCTCCTTCAAAAAAATGTGGTTACTAACAATTCCACACCATCAAATTTGCCTATGCAGAAATATCCAGGCGTGAAGAGATAAAATGAAGATCCTGTATATAAAAGGAAGAAATCATAATTTACTATAAATTAGATATCATATCCATGACTGTCGCACTGACTAACTTCTCAGGAATTTTAAAACAATCCGACTGAGCTTCCGAAATAAATCTTTCCATTATTATTGCTAGGGTTCGTGCTCTAGGCATCAAGAATGAATGTTTCCACAGGTAAAACTACAATATTTCCTCAGTTCTCCATGAAAGCCGTCTCATAAATCTTGCAGCTCCACTCCAATAAAAGGCAAAGATATTTTATATACAATTTGGAACACTAAATAAGAATTTATAAAAAGCAAAATTTTAGATAAAATATACGACAGCGGCTGAAAAAACCATTACGACACCCACTTCTTGCAACATTTTGCCAACGCCAAGTCACCAACCCCAATAAATTCGGCATTTCTCCAGGCAGCCGCCCCATAAACTTTACAACCATAAGAAATCCACTAAACCCTAAACATCTTTTAACCGAATTAGGACACTCGGGCCGACACCAAATTTCCCCATCCAAATGTTACGGCCTTCATTCAAATCACAAATACCACCATAAAACTTCGGTAACCTTTTCCTCCATAAAACGTCCTTTGATTTCGTGACGTAAACCGATACTTGTGTCGCTCTTTCGTTCCCCCCTTCCCATTGTTATGTAAATGTAATCCGGCAGTATCGTTTGGCTATTATGACATCAGCACAATTGATAACGTCAAATAGCAGACATGAATTGTGTTATATTTAGATAATTCCCCTCTCGAAAATCGGCACGCCATTGGCGGAAAAAGCCGTGTTGTGATGGCCGAGCCAATGGGGGCCTCGTGTAAGGGGATCCTCGTGATGATGTAATTTTTTTTTCGCGTGTAATGTAACTACTGGAAGAGGGCCGGATTAAGGGGGAAGTCGGCGAGTCGGGAGCTGGGGATGGTGGAGCGGTAATAGTATTAAAGGGTGTCCAATTTAAACTAAGTAAATTGTTGGCGTACCTATTGCCGGCAGCTGAAATTTTCAGTTGGGTTAATCTCGTTATATCAGTGGTTGTTTATATTTATTTTAATTATTATTTATTATAATCTTAAAAATTAATTTTTTCTCACTATCTAATTATATGGGAATATGGGTAAGAAGTATATAAACGAAAAATCACCCTTATTTCATCAACATAACAGAAACATATATTTATAAATCTATTTCAAGGTTTCTCGTATTCCGGATTTAACCTTGATACCTCCAACAAAAAACAGCTTTTTCCGCATTCATTTACACAGTATTACTTCTTGCGGTAGCCTCTGGGGAATGTCGGATCGAAAATGGGTCATTTTTTGTGGAAATTTGAGTCTGAGGCCAGTTTGCGGTTTCACTTTTTTAATCAACTCACAGCCGAGCTTACAAAAGTTTCCAAATTCGTCCACTTTTTGCCGAAAATGAAGCCACTTTACCTGCAAACCGACAAGATGAATTTGACCCAAATTCAAACGGACCCATGGGACATTCAGAAGTTGTTGATGGATTATGGTCGTAAAATTTATTGGCAGTCGATGACGGATGGTTTGTGGGAAATCTTCGAGAAATCGTGTCCTCCAAAATTGCAACGTCTATGAACTGACTGACATAGCAGAAGAGTAATTTTCAATATTTAAAAAATTATAAGGAAGTTGGTGTCATAATTATCAAAACTTAATGGGTGTTCATTTAAAAAATTGACATTTGACAGTGGTTTGACACGGTAATACGCTTTATCCGAATTTTCTTTTAGGATGTGCAGATCCACATTATTCTCTAGTTTCTTCAGTTTTATCAAAATTACAAACAACATAACATCCAAAAAATTGACCCACGATGCTTGCATGTCCATAAATTGCTCTTCCTCCCAACCGGGAATAAAATGGTACTTTATTCCCCCGTTTTTGGTAATAAAGTGATACTTTATTCCCTAGAGAAAACAGTAAGAACAATTGACCACTCAAGAAGGTTAGAATTTACATTGCGCGGCAGTTTAATATGGAGGTACAAGTTCATGTTTATATTTTGCCTTTTTTTCTTAATATACATAGTATTCTTTAAACAACACGATACCCAAAAACATGTTTTTAATTTCTTGTAAAGAAATAATTATTTTGCAGTTAAACTTCATCCCCTTGCTTAACAGCGAATACAAAAAATCATCACAATTGAGATAGGGTGGGTGGGCGGGTTTATATTTTGCCTTTTGGTTTTAATATGTGTAGACTTCTTTTCAGAACGTGAAATTTAAAACATGTTAATCATTTTAACCATGTTTTAAGTTTCTTGTTATGAAAAGATGGCTATGTATGTTAAGAAAAAAAAAAAAAAACAAAATATAAGCCCCGCCCACCCACCCTATCTCAATTCTGATGATTGTTTTATTCGTCGTGGGCCAAGGGGACGGAGCTTAACTGCAAAATCCTTATTTCTCTACGAGAAATTAAAAACATATTTTTGAGAATCGTGTTGTTTAAAGAATGTCTACTATCTATACTAAGAAAAAAAAAAATTAAAACCAAAGATTATGCCCCATCCATATCCACCCCGACCTCAATTCTCAATTGTGATGTATTTTTCATTCGTTGTCAGATCGAGGGGCGAGGCTTAATTGCAAAATCCATATTTCCATACAAAAATGTACCAATTTAAGCGTATTTTACGTTTCTAAGAATAAAAAAAAATTCTCACAATAGAGACGGGGTAGGTGGGCGGGGCATAGTATTCTTTGAACAACACGATACTCAAAAACATGTTTTAAATTTCTTGTAAAGAGATAAGTATTTTGCAGTTAAGTTTTACGCTTAACTCTGCTAAACGGCGAATAAAAAAAATCATCACAATCGAGATAGGGCGGGTGGGCGGGTTTATATTTTGCCTTTTGGTTTTAATATGTGTAGACTTCTTTTCAGAACGTGAAACTTAAAACATGTTAATCATTTTAACCATGTTTTAAGTTTCTTGTTATGAAAAGATGGCTATGTATGTTAAGAAAAAAAAAACAAAATATAAGCCCCGCCCACCCACCCTATTTCAATTCTGATGATTTTTTCATTCGTTGTCAGACGGAGGGGACGGAGCTTAACTGCAAAATCCTTATTTCTCTACGAGAAATTAAAACATGTTTTTGAGAGTCGTGTTGTTTAAAGAATGTCTACTATCTATCCTAAGAAAAAAAAATAAAGCCAAAGATTATGCCCCACCCATATCCACCCCGACCTCAATTCTCAATTGTGATGTATTTTTCATTCGTTGTCAGATCGAGGGGCGAGGCTTAATTGCAAAATCTATATTTCCATACAAAAATGTACCAATTTAAGCGTATTTTACGTTTCTAAGAATAAAAAAAAATTCTCACAATAGAGACGGGGTAGGTGGGCAGGGCATAGTATTCTTTGAACAACACGATACTCAAAAACATGTTTTTAAATTCTTGTAAAGAGATAAGTATTTTGCAGTTAATTTCTACGCTTAACTCTGCTTAACGGCGAATAAAAAAAATCATCACAATAGAGATAGGGCGGGTGGGCGGGTTTATATTTTGCCTTTTGGTTTTAATATGTGTAGACTTCTTTTCAGAACGTGAAACTTAATCATTTTAACCATGTTTTAAGTTTCTTGTTATGAAAAGATGGCTATGTATGTTAAGAAAAAAAAACAAAATATAAGCCCCACCCACCCACCCTATCTCAATTCTGATGATTGTTTTATTCGTCGTGGGCCAAGGGGACGGAGCTTAACTGCAAAATCCTTATTTCTCTACAAGAAATTAAAAACATGTTTTTGAGAATCGTGTTGTTTAAAGAATACTGTGTATATTAAGAAAAGAAAAATAAAGCCGAAGATTACGCCCCACCCATACCCGCCCCAATCTTTATTATCAGTTGTGATTGATTTTTCATTCGTTGTCAGATCGAGGGGCGGGGCTTAATTGCAAGATCCATGTTTGTCTGCAAGAATGCACTATTTTAAACATGTTTTAGTTTCTTGTTCTGAAAAGACGAAAAATATAAGCTCCGCCAACCCGCCCTATCTCAATTGTGATTTTTTTTTTTTTAATCGTCCAGAACCAAATAAGTGGAATTTAATTGCAAAACCCTTATCAGTTCTCTATAAAAAATTACCATGTAAGAGTATCGTGTTATTCAAGGAATACTGTATATAGGTATTAAGAAAAAATTAAAGCAAAAGATTAAGCCCTATCCACATCTGCCCTGATCTAAATAGTAATGAAGTTTTCATTTGTTGACAGACCTAGAGGCGGAGCCTAATTGCAAAATCCATATTTCCTTGCAAAAATGTACCAATTTAAGCGTAGTTTAAGTTTCTAAGAATAAAAAACATCATCACAATTGAGACGGGGTGGGTGGGCGGGGCATAATATTCTTTGAACAACACGATACTCAAAAACAGGTTTTTAAATTCTTGTAAAACAATAAGTATTTTGCAGTTAAGCTCGGCCCTCTTGCTTAACAGCGAATAAAAAAAATCATCACAATCGAGATAGGGCGGGTGGGCGGGCTTAT